TGTCTAGTAGGTTTACTTTTCTGATTCTCTGATGTGTAAACGCAATGCAGGCATGCAAGCACAGATTACCAAACTGCTGTTTGTCGAGTTGTGTTATATTTTGAATATGGTTATGTTTGCATAATTTCTTGGCCTATATGACTTCTTATTTGATTGTTTATGTTTGTAGTACATCTAAAACTAATTAAAAAATAAAATGGTCTGATGCGTCCACTCTTATAAAATGTTTGCAACCACCGAACTCAATAATTGATATTTAAGGCCCTATACCATTTACACAGTCACTAAGCTACGCTTCTTAGCTACTTTTTCAGGAGGTATCGGCAATTTCAGCAACCTGTTTTGCAATTCATCCTGCTAGAAACGCTAACAGTAATATCTAATTCATCTCAGTGTCTTCTTAACCGAGCAACTGCTTTATGAATTCCTTATGCGAACTTAATCGGTTTCCTGACATTCTGGAAGAAAACGAGCACTCGTCAAGGATGCCGACTGTCACTATTGATTACTGATTCACGTGATGCAGAGGTTCATTAGCGTTCATAAGAAAACTGAAAGAAATAGAATAAGCGATCTAGCTGATCTTCCTTTTTTACTGAAAGTCTGTTGCAGTGAAGCATGATTTTTAGCGCATTAAGCCATTTTCAGTATTTTATGTTGCACTCTCATTATCACGGCATTTTATGGCATTTAAGACCACAAGTCAGTATTCACGGGAAAGCACAAAAGGGCAATCTGAAACCAAATGGAGTAATTAATGTCAAGCGACCTTAAAGGACGTTTCATCGGATAAGGTTCGTATACTTAAAAATGGTCCAATATGCTTAAAAGGCCCATTAGTCTTATCTTCTCTGCCGCCAGATCGCTTTAATTGTCCTCCTTACGTTTAATTCTGGTCTTTCCAATTGTTTGCCCAGTCGCACATTCTGACTCCTTCAAACTGAGGCAATCACTCTGTGTTTCGCCCCCAACGCCCGTCTGAATATCTCGGCACGTTTGTGAGAACTCATTGTCCAATCTAATCCGCATAGCAAACACCTTGGATTTCACGGAAAAATCTGACATGAGAAATATTTAAAGCATGCACCCAAAGCCCATCGAAAAGGTAAAATGAGTGCGTCAGACGGTCTCTTCATCAACAACCGTTCGAACATAGCGAATAAGCAATACTGCTCGAACATAATCGGCTCGGGTATCCCCTCAGCTCTTCAAGCATCAGTCCTAGACGTCACAGCCTGGCACAAACGCCGCTCAACAAGTGAAGGGGGCCGTGCGGCTCGAGAGGGCCGAGACCCGGCGATATCCTATCCGTCGGGAGACCCTCGCGCTCTGCTGTCGGTGCCCGTCCGAGACCCGGCGATGTCCTATCCGTCGGGGACCCTCGCGCTCTGCTGTCGGTGCCCGTCCGAGACCCGGCGATGTCCTATCCGTCGGGGACCCTCGCGCTCTGCTGTCGGTGCCCGTCCGAGACCCGGTAATGTCCTATCCGTCGGGGACCCTCGCGCTCTGCTGTCGGTGCCCGTCCGACACCCGGCGATGTCCTATCCGTCGGGGACCCTCGCGGTCTGCTGTCGGTGCCCGTCCGAGACCCAGCGATGTCCTACCCGTCGGGAGACCCTCGCGCTCTGCTGTCGGTGCCCGTCCGACACCCGGCTGATGTCCTATCCGTCGGGAGACCCTCGCGGTCTGCTGTCGGTGCCCGTCCGAGACCCGGCGATGTCCTATCCGTCGGGAGACCCTCGCGGTCTGCTGTCGGTGCCCGTCGTGTGACCTCTGACCGCCTCACCCGGGCAGCGTGAGCCGCCGCGGTGCACACACACTCACGGGCCTGCGCAGGTATGTGGCCGTGGGTTGGGTGGGGTGAGGTGGGGTGGGGGGTTGGGAGGGGGGACGGCAGGCGAGCGACACTATATGGATGCAGAAACGCAGGTACTGGTCCATCTCACGTTTTCCAGCCTGATACTGACTGTCCACAGGAACTTCTTAAGCAAAGCTGACTTCGCAAGGGCAATTTATCTAGAAGTTCCATAAACCCCCCATACTATACTGCTCTGAGGATCTGGCATGCCAGCTGTCTCCCTGCTGTCACCACACGCCCATCGCACAGCTCACGTCCTTCAGCGTGTGTCCGTCACGCCGTGCACGAGCACGTCGAACGTTTGCTAGGCTTCTGTCGGCTCCAGTGCTCGATGTGAGCTGTTACCACTCTTCCGTGTCACTTCATGGAAATGTAATGAAAGTATCCCGGTTTTATTTCGCAGCGGGTGAGAGCCTTGTCGACCAGAGCGATTATCTGCCATGAAAGACCCGAGATGCGACCTGAAGGACAGATCATTTGATTTGATGATGTGGCGCATAAGAGGATTTTATGTAGCTCTTGGGCCGATGCGAAAACCTTCTGACAAGCAAGCAGCCGTAAGCCTACAGCTCATTCGCGTCAGATATACATTGATTGTTTATCTGCGGCGGACGCAGAATAAGCAAGAGTAATTTTGCGACGTATCTCATGCCCGGGCGATCTGTTATCGATAATCATACGAAACAATACCAGCGATTGCGATGCTCACCATTGTCCGCGCTGCTGGCCATGAAGTGTAACATTGCCAATCACATTTATTTATATCGAGCGGATAGCGGCATGAATCGATAGCATTGGCTTCACTTTACGGCAGGAACAGCATCGCAACATTGTATAAATATTGCCAGATATTGATACAATGTTACATCCCGCTGATGAATATATGGTGGTGCAGCTATATAATATGCCATGCGATAAAAGTACACTATACGGAATGATCGCCACCAGGTACCAGCATCGGGCGTGGAATAATTGCCAGGGTCATGGTCGTACTCTGGTGTGTTATGATTTGCACAGCGTTTCGGCCTGCTATTTATCCCGCTGGCGTCAGGTGTTACTGAGTTCCGAGAGCGCGTGCATCGTGCTTGGCTTTTCACCAGGTACACGTCTCCCTGTGCATTCAACCCGGATTTTCTCCTTGGAACTGCTGGAATTCGAATTGAGTTTTTCTAAGTACGAAGTACTGCGTTCCATCACCAAGCTAACCGAGAAGGACCTTCCCCTTGAAAGTTTCTTGGGTTGTGTATTTACTGGATTGTGTGTTTCCTGGATTGGGTGTTTCCTGGGTTGTGTTTCCTGGGTTGTGTGTTTCCTGGGTTATGTTTCCTGGGTTGTGTGTTTCCTGGGTTGCGTGTCTCCTGGGTTGTGTGTTTCCTGGGTTGTGTGTTTCCTGGGTTGTGTGTTTCCTGGGTTGTGTGTTTCCTGGGTTGTGTGTTTCCTGGGTTGCGTGTCTCCTGGGTTGTGTGTTTCCTGGGTTGTGTGTTTCCTGGGTTGTGTGTCTCCTGGGTTGTGTGTTTCCTGGGTTGTGTGTCTCCTGGGTTGTGTGCTTCCTGGGTTGTGACGCGTGCACGTCAAGCCCAACGCCATACAGTCCATCTCAGAACTCATTAACATCTGGCCACGGCTGGAAGATTAAGCGGATAGGTCGTTGCGTTCATATAAGCACACCAGGCGAGGACGGCAGTTCGAACATTTTTTAATTCTCATGGCTTAAATCACGGCGAGGTTAGAGACCGGCATTTCGGACATTTATTTTTTCATTGCCTGAGAAACTTAAACTACACCAAGCACCGACGAAGGAGCAGTGTCAGAACTTGGTATACTTAAATGCATGACAGAAGAAAATCGGAGAATGTTTCAAGGACACGAGTTGGATAGAACATCGCGCTATCATTAGAAGGTGCGACACGCTGCAGAGGTATGTAACAAATTGAGATCACTGGGAGATACAGGCCATAGGCCGTGCAAAGAAATACAACCATGGTCTTGCAAGCGGTCGTGGCAGCCCGTCGTTGAAATGAGGCCATTTGTCTTGGACGTTAGACTAATGGACCATATCAAATGACCTTGTCCCGCCTTCTGTTCTGGAATCCGAGCGGCCAGTCTACGTATAATGAAGCGTAATTACTTTTTATGCTCTTGTCCAGTCACTTAATACTTGACTCATAATCGGGGGAAGTTTCACGTTACAACTGATGGAATCTTAGGGTCAGTGACTTGAAAAAGAAGACGTTGTCAGCGCCCACGATCGAATGGCTATTCAGACAAGTGCACCGGAATCGATGGCAGTTACAGGGAAACAGAGGCTTGTCCACATACAGGCGTTTTTCGCTTGGGAAACCATTTTTGTCCACGAAATTTTTCAGAACACCTGAATGACGCACCCGTAGTTGTCTCTTTGTCGTCATGTATAAATAATAGAGCCGCCGATCCATCGGCCGGCGGTCCACGTCTGAAAGCGAGCTTGCGCCAGCTGAGCCGCCCCACAACCGTCACACCGGAGCCGACGTCAAGCTTGGTCCCCGGCATGGTCGGTCCGCCAGCCTGGCCCCTGGCGTGGTCGGTCCGCCAGCCTGGCCTCTGACGTGGTCGGTCCGCCAGCCTGGCCCCCGGCGTGGTCGGTCCGCCAGCCTGACCCCCTCGCGTGGTCGATCCGCCAGCCTGGTCCTCCTGGTCAATCGGATCACCAGCCTGGTACCCCTGGTCAGTCGGTCCGCCAGCCTGACCCCCGGCGTGGTCGGTCCGCCAGCCCGGCCCCTGGCGTGGTCGGCCCGCCAGCCTGGTCCTCCTGGTCAATCGGATCACCAGCCTGGCACCCCTGGTCAGTCGGTCCGCCAGCCTGGCCCCCGGCGTGGTCGGTCCGCCAGCCTGACCCCCGGCGTGGTCGGCCCGCCAGCCCGGCCCCTGGCGTGGTCGGTCCGCCAGCCTGACCCCCGGCGTGGTCGGTCCGCCTGCCTGACCCCCGGCGTGGTCGGTCCGCCCGCCGACCATTGTCACTAGGCCCGGTCGCCAGCGCGGCCAGGTCGCCGACCCGGTCGGGCGGCGGCGTCTCGCACCGCGCCGCCGCCGCCGCCGGTCGTCGGTGCCGGTGACGGACCCTGTCGCACCTGTCGGTGCTGACGGGGCGCAGTGGGCGCCGCAGCGCTGGGGCGGCAGGTCGCGCAGCGTCCCGCCATGGAGCCGCACGTCGACCGGCCCAAGAAGAACAGCCGACTCGAGAGCTATCTGCTGCGCAAGATGACGCCATCTAGCTACGAGTCGGTCAGGTGGGTGCCCGGCGGGCCCGACACGCTCCACGGGCGCCTCGCGTGCGGGAGTGTGGCGTTGAGGCGGGTTTTGGGTGCTATGGAGAGTGGGAACGGCAAAGCTGCCGTCGGGTGGGATCAGGACAGCGTACGATTGTCCAGGTTTTCGGTGGAAATGACGCCTTTTTCCGACGATTTTTGGCTTTTAGCCATGAGCTCGTTTTGTGATTCTGGTCTCCAAATTATGCATTTATATATATATATATATATATATATATATATATATATATATGAATTATAATATGATGACTTTGGTGCTCCCTGAGGCTTTGGCGACATTTTTGTCGCTGCGGCACCTATCGTTTCGAAGATTTTGTCCCGACGACCGGGATTGGTGTGCAAGTACCAATGCATTGTAGTTTGCCAATGGGACCCAGGCCTAGGTTAAAGGCGGTCATAGAGAGATTAGAACGTCAGTTTGGTGCTACCGTGAGCGCCAATATCGTTGGCTTCTGGGCACGTTACGATGTCGGAAGGCTCCCACCTCAGGCGTCGCATGCCATCGAGAATGAGGGAAACGCTTTTTCAAGATCCGCTGCGGCATGGTAAAAAATCATTATGTCCCTCTTTTATCCTAGCGTGATCATTTCAACGCCTTGGGTCTGTGTCAGGCACAGTCAAGTGCTATCTAGACATTACATGTCCTTTGCTGAGGGAATACAGCCTGATCCACAATGAGGCTACGGGGCTAAGCATTTGGAAGCTGGCAGCACTAAAAAAACATTTAGATGCCAGGCTGTCGCATCATAGCAGAGCACACGCAGCCTACAGACGCACAAACAAAACAAAAAACATAGTTGCAATGAGAAGTTGACAAGCTTTGCCAAAAATGCCGTACATAAACACTGTATTCAACGTCATGTTCATATTTTCGACGTCACCCTTCGGGCAGGCTCCCGCTGAACAAACTGTCAGGGTTAGGGTTGGCGATGGTAGAGAGTTATCTCCTCAAGGGCGGATAACCCAATCATCTCCAGTTCATTAATGTCGCACCTGCTGGACGAACTGTCAGGGTTAGAGTTGGTGATGGTAGAGAGAGAGAGAGTCACCTCCTCAAGGGCGGATAACCCAATCATCTTCAGTTCGTTAATGTCACACCTGCTGAACAAACTGTCAGGGTTAGAGTTGGCGATGGTAGAAAGTCACCTCCTCAAGGGCGGATAACCCAATCATCTCCAGTTCGTTAATTTCACACCTGCTGAACAAACTGTCAGGGTTAGAGTTGGCGATGGTAGAGAGAGAGAGAGAGAGAGAGTCATCTCCTCAAGGGCGGATAGCCCAATCACCCCCAGTTCGTTAATGTTTGGGCGGCGTCCTCCTCACCGGGTGGCAGTATTGATGTAATAAGAACATGGCATGGCTATGATGAAACAGCTTTAATTTAACCACGCTGCCTCACCCAACTAAATCTATGGGTATGCAGGTTATCTGTCACGAGTGGCCCGCAGACCGCGGGATTGTTACGCGCACAGTGATGCAGCCTTTAATCTGGCCGGTCCACCCGTCTGACACCCACAACTCCCGGGCGCTTATATCTGTGCGGCCATTGGCGGCGCGGTGCACTCTTCGGCAACAAAAACATAGTTCTGTGTGGCCAAATCGTGCTGTATACGCCGTACAAATTGTGCTGTATGAATTGCAGCCTGCAGAGTGATGGACATCCGGAACCATGTACCTTTTTGCCATGTTCGTTCAATTTTGGACTCCTTTTTGTCAGCAGAACAGCTGCCAGAACCGCAAAAATTACGAAGAGAATGATTCTCATTTGCTCACGAAGTGGCACGTAATCGAAATGGCGTGTGGTTGGTCTGACGTCATAAAACCTTCAGCGGCCAGCTGGCGCGAACATGCATTTCACACGGTGGTACAGTGTCCTGGAGATACTTCCTGGAAGTTTCTAAGCTGCTCGAGATTGGACTTTAAACTGAGACGCCATTCTTTATGAAGCTTTGCACAGAAGCTCGCGAGAAGGTAAAATCTCAATCCATTTATTGGACACTGCAGAGGATGACAAAGTTAAAGATGTTGTCGCCGCCTACGCGCAGCCAGCGAGGCCATACAGAGGCTGCCGGCCAACACACAACTGTTATGTTGGCCACCTATGTGGTGGTCGTCGACCACCACACTTTTTCTATTTATTCTGATCTCTTATTTCTGGTCTTTAGGAATATCCATCCACTGAAAACGCTGCCATCAATGTGGCATATGCCTTCGGTATCTTTTTTAATCGGCCTTTTTGAGCAGTAACTGTAAACGGTTCGTGTTTATTTGGTGTTTGTAACGTTGGACTGGACTGCATTAACGCCGGTTAATAGTGAGCACGATATGATTTCTAGAGCTTGCCAGCGGCGAAACCACTACCAGTAACGGGAGCACTATTGCGGAACAACAATGCCATGAATAATGAGAAGGAGAGCTTTTAAAGATTTTGTCTAGACCTTTTGAATTAATGGATTTCTGGGATTAGCGCCCATCCTTAACAGTGCGTGTTGCGTGAGCCCTGACCCCATCATGCGATCGTGAAATTTTATGCCAAGGGCAGAGCTCTATGGCTAAATCTGAGCACTTTGCAACGCTCAGCGTGCTGTCGGCTCCCAGGTGAGGTTCCAGGCTCGAATCTCGGTGGCATCATCGCCACGGAGCGAAAATTCGGCCTCTGCAGTCGATCCATAAACGAGTGCGCGACGACATGCGTGCTGCTTCTAACACTCCCTCCCTTCCTACACGATGTTACCAAACATTTGGTGCCGCCGCTGCCACCACTTACAGACCACCCCAGACAGGATAAAATAGTAAGTGAGTGAGGTGACAAACCCACCCCGCCACGGGTGGGTGCATCAGACCGTAGGTGCTTTAACCAGATTATCTATCAGGACAGACAGCACAGGGTGGGCGGACGGACCGCTTACTTAATTAAAACGGCGGTGCCAGCGTTTGGCGTCCGCCACACTCCGCCTCGCGTCTGCTTCGGCTTGGGTGGGATAAGAGCCCTTTCGGCAAGCGATGCCCATTTCAGGGCAATGGGAGGAAGGAGATAGGCAAACGGTGGGCCGAGACTGCGGCCACCTGGGAGTCCTTCGCGGTCGAGACTGACCCCGCGCACAGACGCCTGTCTGGACTATTTGCGGGCGCTGCGGCGAGCACGTAAGGCCGCCCGGGACGGGCAGCTGCAGCTTGCGCGGAGAAACAGGAAGGGGCGAACGCTCAGGATGGAGCGGTAAGTGAGGTAACAGAGGCGGATGTCCGTCACTCGTGCCTGTGTGCTGTTAGCGTTAGCCGGCCGGGGAGCTATATACACCAAGGGGGAAGCGACTGCAGCCCAGATTAGCACATGTGAAGTGTCTCAGATCACTGCGGTGCATAAAACAGCGGAATATTACACCGTCTACGAGCAATTTTCGCACTAGACTGCATGAGCCGTCACAGTGAGCACACGGCGCCTCATCAACGACTGTGGCACGCATTGGCCAACGGCCAACAAAACTCACCGGCGCCACGCAGCGTGTGAAATATTTCGCAATTTTAGCACAACTCAAAAGTAGCATGGCTTCGAACAGCATCGTACGTTGTCATCAACCTTATCTTTAAATCTACCTTGATTTCTTCATCGTCGACAAATATTTACATGCATATTAATGCCTACCGAACCTGAGCACGAGGAAGGAGTATGCACCCCCCGGTGTCTCCAGTTCCATCAGATGAGCATAACATGAAAAGTATGCCACTGCGCTATTGGCTTTCAAGGTGTTTGTTCAGACACCATTTCCCTGCGTCGTTGGCATGCGGACAAAGTCAGCCATTCTCGTTTAATGAAAAAGATAAACGAGAAACGCGATACGTGACACGAAACCGATGCTGTTTGACAGAATCCACGACGGACAATCGCACTGACCACTGAACTCGTTGATGCCTGCAGCTGGCCAGGCGCGCTTGAGTGCCGTTGATATGTCTTTGGTTCCGGAGCTACCTGGTTTTCTCTGGCCTCCCGGCATTGTTTTTCGACCCAGATACTTTAGGGTTTCCTAATCCTTTCGATGTCATAAGCATTCCCGCACCGTTGCCCTGTGGTGGCGAGTGCTGATAAAGGCTATGAAAACCTCCCCAGTGAGTATCTTTAGATATCAGCACGACAGAACCACATACGTTCAGTGGATATTGGCGAGTCCACTATTACGAATACGAGCAATATACCAGTGATTTCGATGCCGCCTCCTGTTATCTTCTTGGGGTTCAGTAGCATCTATCCTTAGCCAAGAGTAAGACTAGGCCAGACAGGGTGGGAAAATGAAATGCTTAAGCCGATTTCTTCCATGCATCGTCATGGTCAGGATTGATGTCAAACTACCAGTATTTAGACTGACGTGAAATATTTTCAAACCGTGGTACCATGCACTTGCCCTATCCCCTGTTCACAAGCCTATGACTATAATGTTTCTAGATCACTGGAGCCTGATATTCTTTTTAGGCCCAGCGGGGCTACACAGTACACAGTCCCCCCCCCCACGTACCCCCTCCCCCACGTAGGGCCCGCGTTGGCGGCGCGCGGCTCTTCACGCCCCCTCTGGTCCTGACCTTACCAGGGCGTACCTGTGCGTGCTCGCCGCCGCCTATGTTTGGCTCCATTGATTACCCTTCGTCGACGCAGCCGTGACCCGCGTGACCTTCACTCCCCCCCCCCCTCCGGCACGTCACCGCAGCCCGCCGCCGGAACACTTGGCGGAGCCCGCAGGTGCCTCACGAGCCCGGCCTCTCCCGGTCCGCGCGAGGACAAAGCGAGTGCCGCACAGCGAGCGGGACGGACGCTGCCGACGGATGGCTGACCACACCGGGTGGCAACCCGCCGCGCCTCACCACTGGGGCGCCCCGGATCGACCCAGCAGCTGATCGGACCGCCACTAATCCAATTACCGAATCGAATTAGGCGCGCCCGGGCGCGCCGGCGGCCCAGAAATGTCATGCGTAGCCTGATGGGATGCGTGCCATCCGGCCCACGAGAGGTCGCTGATGATGCCGACCTTGACGCCGGTCGGCCGGTCATCGCGTGACGTCACGACCGACGGTGTGACGCGTCGCCCCGGGCCGGCGCCACTTCCCCGATGACAGCTCTGACGAGCGCTGGTACGCGAGGCAACAATATGGGACATGTGACTCCGGTGGACGCGCCCTGAGTGGAGGATTATCCGTAATAGCCCAGATCCAGCTCAGTATGCCAGCAAAACTTAGCTATGAACGCCACCAGGATATCGAGACATTTCATTGCTGGGTTCTTACGCTGAAGCGAGCTTAGTAAACTACTTTCAGACACGGCTATCAATTTGCATGACCGACATCAGCATCAGTTTTTGGGCGTGCGCCGCCCCCCCCCCCCCCCCGCGACAAGCGGAGAAGGTAGGCTGTACCGCTTAGCCGGCGTGTACGGCGGCACAGTGCTGCCGGCCCAATCACAAACAGCCGGCGGAGACGGGCGCATCGCAAGACCGCCGGCTGGCGGGCTGCTCACACGTGCGGACGGCGGCACTCGGGGGAGCGAGAGGTTCTGTTTGCTCCAGTTTGCCCTAGTCCAATTGCGCCAGCATCTGTGCTGGCTCTGTGTGGACTGCACGAGCCCAATTGCGCTGGCGCTGCGCCGACACTCATCCCATTGCAGTTAATGGCGTGATCACGACCAATGCGCTGAGTGGGTCCTCTCGTTCAGGCGATGCTGCACAGCCGGCAAAAGCAGGCAGTCTGGTGCAGGGAGGGTGCAGGGGCCACTCACCATCACTATCATGCCTGTGAGCCTAAATTCAGGGACGCATTGTGAAGATTTTCATCTTCTGAGGGACTCAACTTGCTGAAAAATTTGCGTCCTCTGTCCGTAAGCACATAAATCATGCGCGCGCCTCTGCAGGCAATCCCGGTATTCCAGGCAGCGCATCCAATATGGATGAGCACTCACGTGGAGGTGCACTGCGAGACGTATGCTGTATAAACGGGATATCATCTCGAACATTGCATCCTTGGGGCATCTGCTTTCCAGGAGCCGATACACCTTGACTGACATGGCTGACGTCTGGAGGCGTTTACCCTCAATATAATTGTTTATACGCACGCTCAATGGCAATGCCCAGAACTCCATCCAGGGGCGGACACATTACTCACGGTGCTCCCTCAGGGAACGCGAACCGGGGATGTTGGTCAGAGGGCACATGCAAAATGTACGATATCTGGACGATTTAGTCTCTAGTTGGACTGAAACCTCCTTGAGTTGAGTGGTGCACTGTCAAATTCATGAATCAGTTAACACATCTGATCAAGCCTAAAATCACATCTGTGCGGTAAACATTTAGCGGCACGTAAAGTTACGCACTTCTTTGCCCGCTCTGCGATGGAACATCAGCATAAAGGTGAATGATCGATTCTTTCTTAATTTAAATATTTAAATAAAGTTGTTCAAACGACCTTCTAAAAGACTGGAGTGCAGCGCAGTTCCATCAACCACATATTAAGCATTAAACCAATGACGGGGGTATCCTTCAGTTTTCTTTAGATGCAAGTCTTTTACCGCTAGAAGCATAATCGCGTCGAGGAGATCTGACCCTAGGCACCACCTCCGGACGTTTACCACGATGACGTCCCTCGAAGACTCACGCTCAACTGAGCCTCCTGCGGCCGTGAAGTAGTTCTACGAGAATGTTCAGACTCAGCTGTTGCATGTGGTCATCGGACTAAACGAGATAGACTGGCTAATCAGATGCCACCTTTCGACATCTGGAAACATGGCATGCCCCTGCCCTGAGTGCCCTGAATATCAAATGTTGCGCTGGGCACCAACTTATGTTGAGTGGTCTTGTAATGCCTGTCCGTGTGCTTATTTCAGCACGGATACTTCCGCACGCTTGTTATCGATGCTTTTTGAATGCTGAAATATTCTTCACTATTGGCTACAGCATGAGAAAATCATTGATTCCCAACATCGTTGGGAAAACTTTAGCTCAAATGGTCGTGTGTAATTTTTCTTAAGATTTGATTCTAACCATTTGCATGGATGCATTTCAGGGATCAGAGCTCACGTTTAGCAGTGCTTGTCGCGTGAGGTCTAGCCTCTACCGTCCGATTGTGAAATTCCAGGCCATCAAGAGAAATTGATGAAGAAAGTTTAATGTGACGCAACCCTCGGTACGGTCCGTCCTGCCTTTTCACGTCACCTGACCTTTAACGCGGTGGCTGCTTCCGGCCGCAGGCCACGCCCGTCAAGGTCAAACAGCGGTCGCCTAAAGCGACTCGGACCGATCTCGTCGCGGGTGGTTCAATCGGAAGGCAGACGCTCTAACGAGTTGAGCTACCGGGGTGGACTTAACTCGCAATGATAACGGATATTGCCGAAATTAAATGGAATCTACCCTATAGGCTAAACATTACAAGCCATCTCAACAAAGGGCCCATGCCAAGAAAGGTGTCCAAAGATATTGTGATATATATTAAAATATAATAAGATATTTTGAACGGGTACCAAAGAAATTGTGATAAATATTAAGATATTATAGGATGCTGTGAATGATCACCAAAGATATTGTTGGCACAGGTCTGCTGCTGCGCCAGTGATCACCAGCACCACACCAAAAGGTGGATCACATCAGAGCTTTCTTTACGCATTCCTCTCAGGTCGCCGTCGAGCGGGCTCCAGTGCCAAACCCTGACCGACCGACCCGGCTGAGGCAGGCGGCCGACGGTAGGCCCCAGGGGCCGAGTTTGGGACGGAGTCGTCGGGTCGGAGCCCGCCGGCGTCCCCGGACCGGCTATCGATCACCGACGGTGTGCCGGCGTCGAAGCGTCTCCTCCATACTCTCTTCCCGCCTGCCTAAAAACATGGCTTATTGTCTGGCGCCCAATTAAATTACAAGCCGGAGCTGGCCCGACCAAACCGACCGGCGGTCAGCTGTGATCAATGGGAGGGCGCCGCACGTGGCAGGACTGGGGTCAGCGCCGGGCTCAGCCACTCACGGGGTCACGGCGGGGTCATGGGGTCAGCCACTCACCGCTGCTGTTCGGAATCGGCAATGACACCCCTGACAGACAGGTACAGTCAGCGAATGCCGGGCAGGACGGGCAGCTATTTGTGAGCGGGTCACCAAAGTGCCACTAGTTGACTGTCTGATGCTAACTGAAGGAGCATGTCAGTCAGGCAAGAGGTGCTGAAACAGCCAATACATAGCAGGACAGAATACAGGTGGGACCGAAATAAAAAAGGACTTTTCAGGGTGTTCTAACATTCCTTGGATGATAAAAGCCATTAAGAAACTAATTTTGGCAAACTTTCTTCAGCTAAATTATATTTCAAGCGCCGTTTTGACTAAAAATTATGCACCGCATTCCTAACATCAGATTATGCTACTATTAATCAACATGTGTTGGTCCGTGACAATCCTAAGATACGGCTCGTTTTTTAGCTCTGGTGACCTAGTGGAAGGCTATGTCGCAGTTATTATACCTTATCATGGCACTGGAGCGCAGTTTTATCCAGTCATTTATCTGCGGCACAACGCCACGCTACCCAGATGAAGTTTCAGAGCGCTCCCCAGTCATTGGGCCAAAGCGATCCACTGAAATCAGTCGGCCAACCAGCTCAAGAATCTGAGTTCGTGATGCGTGGACCCTAACAGCCGCGCCTGTCCATAGAAAATGTCTATATTGCCTGCAAAAACCACTGGTAAGATCCCATTTGTATGGAAATACTTAAGACTGCTACAAAAGGTCGCGCGATTCCTCTGTTTCTTACGTAGCTCAATCAGCGTCCACCAGAGGGCTCACGCAGGGCCCTCGACACTTCCAAAGGAAGAGGGCAAACGCATCCACCCACGCTTTCTAAACACTTCATTTCCCATTTCAATGGGCTAGTGGTGATATGGAGTCAAATGCGCTTATTTTCACCATGGCGTTAGTTAGCGCTTAGGTCGTGTCGCGTTCCCAACGTGTATCGAATGCACACATGACGTACCGTGCGACTCGTGCGTAGGTCTAACAATGTGAAAGGCTCACGCTTGTCCGAGAAGTGATGCAAACAGCTGAGAGTTTAGAGCCCTTTCTGTGCCTTATTTCCTTCCGAGATTCAGGTCAAAGTGAACTGCGGGCGTCCAGCCTCCGTGCTAAGGGAGGAAGCTTCATGTTGGCATATACCATGGGCTATTGGAACACACGGCATCCTGATGTTTGCGTTATAAACCGGGCACTCAAGTTCACTGCGATGAATGAAGTCCATGACAGGCGACTAGGTTGAAAACTTTCAGCAGGTCAATGACCTCACACAGCTGGCTCAATGACACATGTGGCACTGCTGCGCGGCACGACTGGTTTGTTTGGTCAATCATTCTTGGTACTTACACACAACCAGCCAACCCCTGTTTCCCCCTCCCCTTTCCTTCCTGACCGACCGTCTACCACTACACCGACAACATTCTGTCGTTTTCCTCGAAGCCGCCGCCGTCGCTGTTGCCTACCGCCGCCCCCTCAGCGCGGGCGTAGCGCTGGAGGTGCCGCGCCCGGCCGTCCGCCGGGACCCGCGGCGGCGGCGGGCGCCGTGCTCCCCTGATCGACCCGCCGTTCCAGGTACTATGAGCCCTGCATCGTGCGCCAGGGCAAAGCCATTCAGTACCAAACGGCCGTGGTCACCGAGGCCGGCCTCTTCGCCGTTGACGAGCCGCCCAGGCACCTGCAGGAGGTGGTCCGGCTGCTGGATATCATCAGCATCGAGCGGGTGAGTGAAGCCGGGCCTGGTGCTGACCGCGCGGCCACCGAGCGACCCACTCTCGGGTGGGGGCCGTGACCTGTCTGGGTCCGGGTCACCGGCCGCTGGCTGACATCGACATCGGCAACACCTCAGCTGACACTGACACCGTGGGAACGCACGCTTTCGACGCTTTTGGCTTATTGCGGTAAGGAGGTGGTCAGTAAAGTGGCGAAGAAGAGTAGCTGACTGGTCAAAAACGCTTAATAGTATACGAGACTGGACTGGACGCAGAGGCACACGAACCTGCACCCTTCGCTCAACAAATGTGAGCAGGGAGTCATCGTAGAAAATGTTTTAAAAATTATGTTTAATGTACACCGAATTCGATGCTGCTCACAAAGACGCACATAAGCGTTAACTCCCAAAATAAGGAGCCACAACAAATGATGTACCTGTTAATAATTTTGCTCCAGGGCTACACATTGCCAAAATCATTACTGGTCCTAGCAAGTGGAGGCCTGCATCTGATGCTGTCTCTAGAGCTCCACGAGGACCTCTGTTGAAGCCTTTATGAGGGATTCTCTTGGGCCTCCTTGGGAATGCTTGTGGGTCCCCATGAGAGCTTTTATCGCCACCCCTCTCGAAGTCAGGCCGCTCTTTTTGTGTGTACACTTACTTGAGAGCGTCATGTGGCTCAGTGCGATCAGGTAACCCACGGATAACCACTTTGGCTGGTGCCGTGCCAATGTCAATCATCGCGCATTGTTCGAAGCGCCATCCGTCCACCTGTTCCGTGTTGTCACCAAGAAGTACCCGAACCATAAGCTGAACAACCGATGCTTTTCACTATGTCTCGTGCGTTTCGCCGTCCTCGTCGTGTTCTTCGACAGTGTATTTCACCGTCCATAAAGTGCGCTTTAAAGTGGAGTCGCCACCTGCCGTGTCCTCCCGTAATGTGACCCTCCTCCTTCCCGTGTCCTCTGTCACCTGCCGTGTCTTCCCATAATGTGACCCTCCTCCCTCCCGTGTCCTCCGCCACCTGTCGTGTCCTACGTTCGCCGTCTCCGACATCCCAGCCGCGATCTAACCTTTTTGATTTGTCTGATGCCAATAATATCTGGCCCTATGGTCACGTGGCTCATTTAGCACTGAACGCTCCGGGAACTCGTAAATATGGGCGGACAGTGCTGGGGCCAAACGACGACAAACAAGAACGTCAGTCAAGCGGACACAACTGGCCAAAAATAGACGGCGAAATCACGTACCACAGGCAAAGGGCTGGAGGCGCGCTATCATATTAACACGGGAAATGTAGCGTTGATTTATGGTGCGATTTTTCTTGCACGATAACATTAACTCCACTTGTTCTGACCATAGAAAGTGAATTTGACTGGCGTGGATGACGGCTTTTTAAAAACCTGCGTCTACGAAATTTTGCCACCGCTTCATAATGCAATGCTTTCTGGCAAATGCGAACAAACAATATTTATATGCCAGCATAGGTTTCGTGACGACCCCCCATTTCCACCGCATAATGAGCAATCTGCCCTCTCGTGATACGTGTGGTTGTCTGACCTTCGTGACTATCCGGTGACCTCGGGACAGATTCAGCTGATTGCCTTTGGCTGGGCCCTGGCGGCGCCAGGCGGCATTGACGACCACAACTTCAAGTCCAAGGGTACTGAGCCTCGAGCTTCCCCATCCGCGTCCCTCACAAAGGTCCCCTCCCCAAGACCCTTTCTGTCCAGGCGGTGTCCAAGACCAAGCACCACGGCTGGCGCCATGGAGCGAGGGTATCAAGTCCCCAACCGTGTAGGCCCAGTATTACGTCTGGGTGCGCTGCGTGGAGACAGCCGCCTCGAGGACCTCGAACATCTCTCTCCCCATCGTCACCCGCGATGGAGCTCGCGCCTCACCGACGTCCCGCACGCTTCAGATCCACGACGTGATCGAGTTTCTGCGCGAGCCGCTGCGCGACCGAGTGCAGCACGTGCGCATTGAGTACCGGCCATCGCAGCCGGCGGCGGCGGCGTCTGGCGGCGCCAGCCCGGCAGCGGAGGGCGGGCCGGGCCCGGCGCTGCTGGCGGTGCCCGGTCGGCCGCTGGTCCGCCGCCGCAGCGACTGCGACTCGGAGCGGCGCCGCACCCTCAGCCGGCTCGAGGAGGAGGTCGAGGAGCTGGGCGGCCGGCTCCGCTCCGCCGCCAAGCCAGCTGACGGCCAGACCGGCACGGCTGCGCACCGAAACAGTCACGCGATCAGGTGAGGTCGCGGCCTGCTGACTCGGCTCAGAGGTCCGGCTGGCCGGCTGGTAATGGCGGTGGGACACGGTTAAGCTTGAATGCACCCGCAGGAAGCTTCTGCTGGCCCCGCTTTTCGTCAGGGTGTGTTGATGACAGTGAGCTCAGTAACTTCTGGTGCCAGTGCACAACCCGATAGTAGCTGGCAGCCAGGACTGGCCTGTTGACGTTGCTCAGGCTAGTTAATTCTCGAGTGATGCTACGGACATATATTAGCCGTTCCGGAACGAACGAGGCACCAAGTCCTTTAGTACGATGGCCACGGCCTCTGAACGACGAACTCTGTTCTTCACAACATAGCCTCACCTTGGCCGATCTAGCAGAGCTTAACATGTCATCGGGCGCAAGGTCGTTTGATTTCGAGGACGTGGCGTGAGACGTGAGAAAGGCAGTCAGCTCACCTCGGTCCCCTTTAATGATACGTCATCACGTCTTTGGATAGTTTGATTACCGTGTGCACCATGCAGAGCCTGGCTATCGCCTCGCTCGTAGCGTAGTGTCACCTGCAGTCAGGTTCGGGACGAGGGACGTGTCACCTGCAGTCAGGTTTGGGACGAGGGACGTGTCACCTGCAGTCAGGTTTGGGACGAGGGACGTGTCACCTGCAGTCAGGTTTGGGACGAGGGACGTGTCACCTGCAGTCAGGTTTGGGACGAGGGACGTGCCACCTGCAGTCAGGTTTGGGACGAGGGACGTGTCACCTGCAGTCAGGTTTGGGACGAGGGACGTGTCACCTGCAGTCAGGTTTGGGACGAGGGACGTGTCACCTGCAGTCAGGTTTGGGACGAGGGTCGTGTCACCTGCAGTCAGGTTTGGGACGTCTTTCATCCCGATATCATTGTTCATATATCGTTCCCCTTGTCATCACCAGCTGTGTGGTGTGTTATCTGTTGGCGTGCGTCTGTGCTACCTGCGCCGTTTACACAGCAAGCTCTGACTGATTGATTATCCCGGTCGCGTTGGCCGTGGCTCGTGCTCACAACTCACCTCTGCGATTGAGCATATCTTCCGACCTCGGATCCGTGGGTTTGATGATGTTCTGTGACCTGACCATCTCGTGAGAGCCTATCGGTACTCTGAGTGACCGCGGTTGATCACTGCTCGATATCTGAGTATAGTCTAGTGAGGCCTTGAGTCCTTGAGGCCGCTTTCCGCCGTGTCTTTTCCGTACATTACAGGGTGTGTTTATTTACCGGCCGACGCCAGAGCAGCCCCCCTGACCCCAGTACGACCCTGCCTGGCGCCACCCTCGGCGGCCGTCTGCCCCAGTGGAGCCCGCTGACCCGCCTGCCCCGTCCGCCCGCAGCGGGCGGCGGCCGTCGGACGCGTCGCCGCCCGCGTCGGAGCGTGACGAGGTGACGCTCTCGCGGCTGCTGGAGCGACGCCACGCCTCGGGCAGCCCCGAGCCCCGCCCGGCCAGGCGCGCCCTCTCGCCGGACTCGCTCAGCTCGGAGCTGGCGGCGGCGGCCGAGCCGAGCCGTGGCATGACGCGCTCCCAGAGCGCGCTGCCTGCCTACCACCGCTCGCCCAGTGTCAGGGCTGATCTGCCGGAGCGGTCCCGCAGCGTGCTGGATCGGCCGCGCGCCGACGGGTGAGCGGCGCCGCCCGTCCGGTGGGCGGCTGTCCGTCTGGAGCCGGCACCGGTCACCGCGTCAGATGCCGAGCTTCGCATTCCTGCTGAGATGTGCTGGTCCGCGTCAGCACTTGCAGAGTGCATTGCGTCGTACGTTGTGAGCTGGGGTCCCATCTGTTATTTGCAAGTGTGCCCCAGTTGGATGTTAAGACATGCATCGTCTTCCATGCATAGCCGAAGACTTGTAACCTTTGATGCGCAGTCTAACAACCTGCTTTAGATGCGAATTAAGACTGATAGTTTGGGAAGCGGTCAGGTATACAGCTGTACAGTTTGCAACCACGCAAATAGCCCCTCAAACATTTACGTTGCGGCTAAACGCTTATGTTGACACATGTTGCAACAAAGGTATCATTCAGAAGCGTTTGCGAAGAGGCTTTGTTGTTGGAGCGGTCCATCACCGGTTCCAAGTGCTCCTACGCCAACAATAAGCTGTCACCAGCGAAAGCACACTCAGGTGTTCGACCTATTCCATTTCGGCCTGCAGCAGGGTGGTGAAGAAGAGGTCCACCAGCCTGGACGACGTGCGCGGCGCGAGGAAGCTGCCAGAGCCCAAGGTGTACCACGTCTACCTGCTGCAGGAGGGCTCGCCGTTCCAGCAGCACCTCCGCACCGCTTGGATGAGCCGCCTCATCGTGAGTGTGCGCCGCTCGCCGCCCGGACCGCCGGCAAACGCCGGCTGCGCGGTCAGGTCGCGCTGTGGCGGAAGCGTTGGCGGAGAATGCCGTGTGGCGGGCGTGGCAGCGGCGTACCGTGTGTCTTCATAAGCAGGGAACACGGCGTACGTCGTCACGCGCCCTTTTTATGGAGCGCCAGCGACTGCAGATGTCATATTTCCGCCCACAGGCCGTGGCTCAGCCGCACCCCACGTGGGAGCCGAGGGCTCTAAACACTCGGCATTACGCCCCACGCGCATACCACGTGCCATCAAAATGGCCATTTTCTCACGTGTGTTTTCAACATACTGGCGACCTTTAAAGACTAATTTTTCTCAGCACCATGACAGTTTGGAGTCGCACACGCCAACACTTCCGTCCATTTGATGCACTCCGAATATTCATCGACCTGCGGTAGTGACCTGGTGCCCCACCTGCTTCTTCCCCTGATCTAGTGAACCCGTGGTGTCGTGCATCTAACAAATAACCCAGCTGCGAGGGATGGCGTATACACAGCTGTTGCCAACACACTCCCACCTGCTCGCTGCTAAGCGTAGGTCACGATCCTTCAGTTACAACATGAGCATGCACAGCGCTTGATGAACGTTCCAGCTCATTTCGCCCGTACGTCTACACATTACACAACACGCCGTCTGAGCGCAGAGCCCAGTACGTCCTTATTATGGCTGGAAAATGAGTACCACAGTCTCAGCTGTAAGGTACTCATTACTCCTGGCGCCTAGCGCAGCCCCGTGCATGTCTTAGTCACGGTCGCCGTGCCTGACGTGTGCCCCAGCCCAACCCGCTGCCCCCGTCTCGCACTATAGCCCTCTAAGTGGTCGTCACACTCGGAGGGTCCCGGCCCCAGCGCCGCCGGCGCGCCGCTGGACCGTGGCACGTGCGAGCCGCCTGCGCCGCCGCGCCGCCCGGGCGCCCGTCCGGTGCCGCTGGGCCGGGCCGCCCGTCCGGTGCCGCTGGGCCGAGCCGCCCGTCCGGTGCCGCTGGGCCGGGCCGCCCGTCCGCCGCCGCACGGCCCGGCCACTCGTGCGGTGCCGCTGGGCTGAACCGCCCGTCCGGTGCCGCTGGGCCGAGCCGCCCGTCCGCCGCCACGCGACCCGGCCGCCCGTCCGGTGCCGTTGGGCCGGGCCGCCCGTCCGCCGCCGCACGGCCCGGCCCCCCGTCCGGTGCTGCTAGGGTCGGTGTCCATTCTGAGTCAGCCCGCAGGTCTGACCCAGTTGGCCAGCTGTGCGCCGCCGCACACACAGCTGTGCGCGCTGCACACACAGCTGTGCGCGCTGCACGCCTCTGGAGCCGCCGGCCGGCCGCGCACCGGCACGCGCCGCAGCCAGTGACGCATACTGGACAGAGGCCGGCAGCGGCCCCTGAGCGCGCAGAGCGCACCTGTGTACGCCTCGCGCCAGCGGCCTGATGCAGGCCACCTAGCGGCGAAGATCACAAGATCGAAGGTGATGCAGCGCACAGATGCGCGGTGCTTGGCAAATTTGGCTGAGTACGCCGGTCTCTCTCATTGATTTTGGTATTACTTCCGCCGATGACCTGCTTCCCAGATATCAGAGCACGCTGGCACCAAAAACGGCACGCGGCGCCTTTTTGGTCCCCATGATTTAGCTGCTTTTGTGGGCTGGGTCGTGACCTTTGTTAAGTTCTTGCCTGCATAGTCTATACATGGATTGCCACCATCACTTGCGGAGATGGCGGACCCTGGAACGAGGCCCGACAACATGATCATGTTATCCCGCCCCGCTCGCGCTGATGATGACCATTCGTACACGTCCTGGCATAAGACTCTGCAGACGCTGTACGCCCTTTCCGTAACGAAAATTCGTGGAAAGATAGCCATGTTTTTGTCCGGAAGTAATCATTTTAATGCGCGCTCTTTTTCATGGTTATCAGCTTGTCCACCGCTCCGTGCTGCGCCGCGTTTTTTTCCATGTCTCCTTCAACGGCAACTTGGCTGGAGTAAGCGTGTCGCAAGAGCTCGAGCGTAGTACACAACACTAATGATTCTTGCACTTATGTACATCCAGGGAATCTTAACCGGAATCCTGGAAATATTTAACAAAACAAACCTGAGCACGCGGACAATATTGTAATCCTATGAGGCACAAAGGTAACACACTTCGAACTTCGTCCGATTATCTCTTAAAAATTTGGTTTTGGAGAAACGCCCGTTAAATTTCAAATGGATTCTTAACACAGGAGGCAGGGGAGAGTGGTTAGCATCTTCAGCTTCCACCCGGGCTGAACTCCGGTTGCGCCATGGCTCCTGGGGGCTAATACGGCCTCTGCAGTCGCTGACGCTCCATAAAAAGGTGCGCGACGACGTACTCCAGGTTCCTTCTTAGAGACATATATATTCATCGCAACCCCACGAGAGGAAGAGGGAGGGAGAAAGCAGGGGAGGGAAGGAGCGGACAGCTCCTCACCAATAGCGGCACAGATCGATAGATGCATAGACTCTCATACTAATCCATCAATGGATCGATGGAGCTGAGCTGATCGATAGGTCGATGGATGCGTCCACCGGTGAGCAGGGGTATCCATATCTGACATGATACATAAATGAAGTGCCAGCGAGACGGGTGAAAAAGGCCGCCACAGAAATCGACAGTGACAGAAGGTGGCGGCGGACTGTTGGTGGAAGGGGGAGGGAGACTCGGGTCTGGTGTCTGGGCATTGTCCCGGCCTGGACGTGTCGGCGGCCGGCGCGAGCGGCCGACCTCAGACACGGCACATTACGCCACCGCACGGCACGGCACGGCACGGCACGGCACGGCCCGGCCGAGTCGAGCCGGGCCAGCGCTGGAATCGATACCCGCATAAAAGGCGGCTTTCATTGTCGTGCCCCTGCTATGGTAACCGGTAAACATTGGGGAATCGTGGCCCCCGGCCCGGCCAGCCGCAGGCACGCGTCACAGGTGGCGGTCCACAGCGCCGCGCTGTCAGAGCGCGTCACGTGATGGCGCCGCTCCTCAGCACCAGCAGAGGCCAACACGTGCTCGGGCGGCACTGCGCCGCGCCGTCACAGGGCGACACGTGCTGAGACGAGACGCCACCGCGGCGCAGCGCGGCGCAGGCGGCGCAGGTGTGCAACGCCGCACGCTGCTCACGGAGAGCCGCTCACCGCGGCGCCCTCGGGGAGCGGAGACCGATGTCCGGCCGCGAAAGACACCGGGGAAGGGAGATACGTAACGCTCAACAGGGGCCCCCGCCTCGATATGAAGCGCGTCACCGGGGAGCTCGGGCCATTAACGACACCGACGACACTGCAGCAATGACGCGGTGCGGTCGTTTGGTGGCCTGGCGCTGTGTTGCCACGCGGTGCACGGTATGGACAGCTGCAGCTGGACACGTTACGCCTTCCGACCTGTCACCGTTGCACGCAGTCCCTACGGCAGACGCCATCCCGCCTTCAGGCGTACTTTCGCCACTGCATATCGTCCACTGTCTGCTATTCGTTCTGGTGAGCCTTGTGAATGTCGGCATTAGTTGAGCACAGCACTCGATTTGTGCGTGTGCATTTTCTAATGATGCGGCTTCTGTTGTCACCGCGGTCGTATAGTCGACCGATGGTGCGTACTACACACTTACCAATAAGGGCCCGCAGGGAGTGAAAATGTGGAAGGCGACGTTTAAAACACTGATGTATTCTGACGGCGTCCACAGTCCTTTGTTAAGCGCCGGCCAATAGGTCAAGTTGCCCACCAACCAGCTGCACGCGAGGTGGAGCTGACGTCAGACTGCTCCATCGCGAGTTAGAGCTGACCCCTGACTGCTCCATCGCAAGGTGGAGCTGACCCCAGACTGCTCCAACGCGAGTTGGGGCTGACGCCAGACTGCTCCATCGCCCTCGCGTGGCCGCGATATCGATGAACCGTTTCTGCACCGAAGGTAGCGGCGGCCACTGGCCGCCCCGCCCCGACCCGACCACGGCCCGCGGCGGCAGCCCGGCCGTCACTGCGCGCAGGGAACCGTAACAGGTGCCGGCCCTCTGGCGCACGGCGGCGGACGGCGGCGGCGGCAGACGGATGGTCCCCTCGGAGCGCCATCTCGCGCCCGGTCGGCCACCTCATCAGCGGCGATCGTGACTGCTGTATGTCACGCCCGCCGCCGCTGCCGCCCGTCTGCTTCCCATCCCCCCGCCCCCCCCCCACCCCTGCCCCCCCCCCACCCACCCACCTCCTCTTCCGTGGCCGGAGCCGGAACCGGAGCCAGAGCCGGAGCCGGAGCGGAGTCGGAACGGAGGCCGAGCTAGCTGACGCTGCTCAGACATGATCGCATATTGGTGGGGTGTGGGACCCGACGGTCGCAGTGGGCGATGAAGCGGATGGCGCGGAGACCGGATCCACTGGCCACCTGTGCGGATACTCCGCGGTGGGGAGGCGGCTGAGACCGAGTCCCTTGTCGCATCACTAAAAGGCCGCAGATCCGGTGGAGACCGTGGCATCGAAGTTCGGGGACTGCCGCCCGTTCGCCGCGTTTCTCACATGAAAGGGTGCCTAACGGGGCATTTACTCTTGTAGCATTTGCTTTTCTCTGCCATCCATTCTTCGTTCTCCATTCCTGCCTATCCTGCATCCTTGCGACATCGCGTTTGAGCGGGGCGAGCTGCATGCCCCAGTCTTGAGTGGGCTTCAGTGCCCCGTCCTTGGGGTCCCGTCCGAGTGCCCGGCACATATCCCGTAAAGGGGTGCCTGTGCGGGCTCAGTCTCGGCGGAGGGGCTGCCAGATGCATGCATTTTGCTCCACTGTTATCCGCCCTCCTTGATCCCATAGATTTGAAGTGGTCATCACTGGTCTAAAGGGCTCTAATCCAACTCAAACTGAGCCAAAGCAAGGTTCCTCCGAAGTGGTATGTCTACAACGGATCATCAACGCAGTCGTTTGCAGTTGTGGTCTATTGGCCACATGATCACAAACTGTACCAAGAAACATCCAAATGCAATTTTCAAAATGGGGAGCGGAGGTGTCCACAACGCATTCAGGGTCCAAAGCACTGTGGGACTATATTAGCATAAGCCATATTGACTGAAGTTTTATTTAGACACCGACACATGAATAAATCCCTAAAATCATGCACCACATTAATGCATACTTATACCCAGACATAGACGCTTGCTAAAACACATGCACATCCATACAAATTAGCAACTAAATAAATGTATTCCGATAAATGCTTGCATACCCAGTCATGTGCATGCGTTCATTTCCCTGAAGACACGCACTTGTTGCGCCCCAATTGATGACACGCCGAAAGCAAGCACTCCAAGTTGGTGCGTTCCTCTATCCAGCTTATTATCATGATGCTGATGCTCAGAGGTCATCCTGAGCCAATGAGCTGAGTCAGCGCAGGCGAACTAGTTCAATGCCCTCATTCGATTCCACCCATTCCACTTAGTGTGACGCCCAGGGGTGGGAATGCCAGCCCGTACTGCAGGCACGTTTTAGATGTCTGCCCGTGTGGGTTATGCGACTGCCAAGGCCAACCGAAACTGACGGCGCACTGTCGCCTCCGTTAACGAGATCGCTTTTCCCAGTGCCGCCATCTGGGAGCAATGAATCATTCAATGACATACCTGCCGCGCCGCGCTCCCGGGAGGATCGGAAAATAAATTACACACGCGACTTATTCCGTGCAGGCGATATCTGGGTATCGAGTGGCTCTAATCAAATTTCAGCCGCGGCAATTCACAATATTCACGAACGATCTCACTGCACGATCTGCCTGATAGCTGGGCGGGACCACAAATGTTATATGTTGGGTCGTAAACGCCCGGCCCGGAGAGGTCAACGGCCCCGGGTCACATGCCTTCCCACCCAGCAACGGGCCCGGTCACGGCCTCCTGACCTGTGCGGGTCGGTGTGAGGGATGGGCAGCTCGGATCTGTGATGGCCAGTGTGAGGGGTGGACACCTCGGATCTGTGAGGGCCGGTGTGAGGGGTGGGCAGCTCGGACCAGTGAGGGTCGGTGTGAGGGATGGACAGCTCGGATCTGTGAGGGCCGGTGTGAGGGATGGACAGCTCGGATCTGTGATGGCCAGTGTGAAGGTTGGACACCTCGGATCTGTGAGGGCCGGTGTGAAGGATGGACAGCTCGGACCAGTGAGGGCCGGTGTGAGGGATGGACAGCTCGGACCAGTGAGGGTCGGTGTGAGGGATGGACAGCTCGGACCAGTGAGGGCCGGTGTGAGGGATGGACAGCTCGGATCTGTGATGGCCAGTGTGAGGGTTGGACAGCGTGGACCTGTGAGGGGTGGACAGCTCGGACCTGTGACGGCCGTTGTGAGGGGTGGACAGCTCGAACCTGTGAGGGGTGGCAGCTAGGACCTGTGACGGCCGTTGTGAAGGATGGACAGCTCGAACCCGTGGGGGGTGGCAGCTAGAACCTGTGACGGCCGTTGTGAAGGATGGACAGCTCGAAGCTGTGATGGATAGACAGCTCGGACCTGTGACGGCTGGTGTGAAGGGCGGACAGCTCAGAGCTGTGAGGGCCAGTGTGAGGGGTGGACGGCGCGGCACACCCGGAGAGGCGCTTCGGGCGCTCTAATGTTGTCACAGACCATGTACAGACACGTCAGCCGCTGCCTCCCGCTGGTAAGGGCATGTGACATGTACTGGATGGCTGATGCAATGCACTTGTTGTAGGCGATAGTACATTCATACAAACGTGCGATGTGGCCATCATGTACGCCGACATTTTCGTGGTTCGTTTTGGACTTGTTTGAGTTGAAAATCGTGTTTTGGGAATCGGGCAGTGTTCTGCTCGTTTAGGAACAAATGGATGTGGAGCCATTTCCGCACGCCACATCCCTTAAGCTCCCATGAATACGCGTCGTCTCTGTATTAGAAACAGACGCATCGTGCAGCAGGATTGCTGAACGGGACGGGGGTTGTTGGACATTGAATTTCGCCTCTTCGAATAGCTTCGATGTCGAATCTAATCAATTGAGTTACTCAAACAGGTAACATAAGGAATCATCCACTGATTCCGTTTCGGTTTGCGGCAGGTGACACGATCTCAGTCGCGCTCTTCTGTCTGAGCCGATGGGGTTTCCCCATCTGACTATGCTGCGTTTTGGGATGCCTCACTTTGCTCTGACCTCACAGCGCCATCTTTCCCGCCCCCAGATATCCGACAATTGCGCATTGAACGATCAATACGCGGAACAAAGCGCCGCACCCAAAGATAGCCGGCCGCGGCCGGTCCTTTTCCAACCAGGCGCTCCCCGCGCATGGACCGGCGTTTCACCTCGCGACGCATCCGGTCACCATAGCAACCGGACAACAGTTTCAAGGTCACCGGGCCGTGCGGTGCCGGTGGGCGCGTGGTTCACAATCAATAGGCCGCCCCGCGTGCCGTCTCGGCCCCGTCGTTCCAGTTTAAAGTTTCAGCGGTGGGTGCGGACTTCGTGCCGGTCAAGACGGTGCCGTATTGGCCGCCGCGGTCTACCGGAGGGCGGCGCGCGCTCCCGCCCGACACGCGGGTCAATGCCGATTACAGGTCATGTGACGGTGGGCCCACGGGTGCCCTCATTGCCGGGCGTCGGCGTGCTGCGACCGGCCACGGTGGAGAGCACGGCATCAGAAATATTGGTCGCGAACGAAATATGCAGAGTTTGGACACTCGTGTAAGAAATCTGCTCCGTTTGCGATGAATGACTGCGGGTCAAAGTCGAGCGGAGACGACGTTTCGCCGAAGTCCCAATTTATACTTCTCCGGGGTTTGTGTCATACCACTTCGCTTCTAGCTTGGTCCACCCGTCCAAGCACGACCGCGACCTAAATCGTGGCCAACATCGTGCTCCGTTCCAGCAGACCTGACCCGCCGCATCACGCACGCGGCGTCAGGCCTCAAACTCCGGTGCCGGTGCTCACCGATCGGCAGTGCGACCGCGGCAAAACGACGCTCCTTGCCATCAGGGCACCACCCTACGGATGCCAGCCACAATACTTCACACCCGACACGGCCTAGAACTGGGACGGCCACGCACCGCGCACTAGGACGGTATCTTGGGCCTTTTTGATCTGGCAGATGACGTTGACCAGGCAGTGATGTTCGACGCGCAGTCCAAGGCGTTGGAAAATCCAAAAAAGCAGAACATCGGAAGATCATTCACATACGTACACACAAACATACGTATTCCAAGGAAACGTAGCGGCACCTGGCCAAACAGGCGGGTCGGGGGCCAACAAAGCAGAGCTCCAGGGCCCAGCGCACACGTGCGCTCCTGCCCGCGCGTGAGCGAGCGAGACCACCTCAAGCGAGTCCACCTCAAGCGAGTCCGCCTCATGCGAGTCCACCTCAGGCGAGTCCACCTCAGACGAGTCCACCTCAGGCGAGTCCACCTCAGGCGAGTCTACCTCAGGCGAGTCCACCTCAGGCGAGTCCACCTCTTGACCGCGACGTCGCGCTGTTCCAGAGCCGGACGCAGGCGATCGAGCAGTCGGACCCCGAGAGTCCGACCCGGATCGACCCGCAGCAGCTGGACCAGCTGTTCGAGGACCTGCGCGCCGACCTGCTGACCTCATCCGATCTCGAGCAGAAGTTCAACCTGGTGCGAGAGCTCAAGATCGGCGCCGCCGAGTACAAGCGCGTGCGCCGTCTCTTCTGGAAGGTGAGCGGGCCGGAGACGAGCGGGGCTGGCGAGCGGTGCTGTGCAATGTGTGCGTGGTCGTGATGATATCACACGCAAAGGATCTGGATAGGCACCTTGGTCACGATGGCTCAATATCTCGATCGCGCACCCCAGCAGATGGTGCACCATCTGCTGTGATGATGC